GGCGTCAGTTTGGAATTCTACGTGGCTTCTTGGGGAAAAGAAGATAACAAACGCAGAGAGAAGCGTCGTGTATTGTCGCGCACGTGTGTCTCTGAATATTACGATTGGTACATACAATTTGAGAAACGGCAATCTGCAGCCAATGATCTCAAAGGGACTGCGAATCGCCGACAGAGCGCGACACGTCTATAACTCGCAGACAAAGAGTTTTGAGCTCGATAAAGATAACAATTGAAAAAACGGGATATATATGAAAATAGATTGCACCGTTGCGAATATGCGCGAGAAATGCGAGCGAGAAACATCGAGCTCGTGCCGAATGACGGACCTTCTCAACACGACCAGCGGAAATACTACAAAGCAGAGCGCTAGCTTGTTGACAAATAAATTTCTAAAAGCGGCTAGCGCGTGCGTTGGGCATTCTCGGCTGGCGGGACCGACGAATCGAGCACAAAGCGCGCGGACCGCGCAGATAATAGACCACTATGAAGGCGTCGACTGTGACATCGTCGTCGATAAATAAATGCAAAGCGACGAAAAAGAGGAGGGCGGAGGAGACCAAATCGCAGAGGTAGCGTAAATGCGGCCGCGAATAACGAACGACGACTAGGGGACGGTTGGTAGCGGCGGCAACGGCAACGGCAACGACTACGATGAAATTTTGACACAACTCTGGTTCTCCATAGCAAAAATTCAAGAAAATATCATTTTTTCATACGTTTTCGTCGTTAATATTAAATTACTTGGTGTACCTTTGAATATTTTAAGTTCAAATTGCTTCAAGGTGAAATTAAATTCAGCAAAGGACATTTGGAAGAGAGATTCGTTTGCGCCAGCGTCGTCTTCAATTGTTATAAAAAAAGTTTTTATCGAAATTTTACCGAAATTATATCGATATATAGACATTTCCGCGGAAGAAAAGCTGATCTTTTCGATTTATACAATAAATCTGAAAATTACCGAAATCACTGACTGATTCCGATGATAGAAGCGTTCGTTCGTATAATGGATATCTGCAAAGATGAGCGGTAAGACGAGGAAAATGGCAAAGAGTACGATTACCGTGAGCGAGGAGACGACATCAGAGGGCGATAAGGAGCCAGCAGAACGGATGGAGGAACTCTCGCGCGGTGAGTGCGGCAAGCCAGAGGGAAGGAAGAGAGGCGGCAGTTAAGTTATGAATTATGACGTGGTGCGAGCGAGAAAGACGAATCGAGTCGGTCGCGTAGGTCGTTACGAGGCTCGAGAAGGGAAGCCTGCCGGGTGAGTCTGCCGGAGAGGGGAAAACAGGGAAAGGCAAAAAGCACCCATGACGATACGTCGCTACTACGAGGAAAGAAGTGTAAGACAGAAAATATACCATGAACGCGAAAGAAGTTACTGGGGTCGAGGAATCGAAGCCAGGACCTTCCGCTTCCCCAACAACTTCACTCACCATCTAAACTACTAAAAATTCTTTAAAAGGTCCAAATATATTTGTCTCCTTTCTACTAAAGACCTTAATTGTCAAGATAGTATTCCTCCTGTCGTGCAATCGCTTACAGAAGGTGGTTCTTGTTAAACAAGCGCAACTCTGAAACGGTGAGCGCTGTTGCGACGGCAAAGACGACGATGAGTGACGGGATGACACGCTAATCGCAGCGAATAATTTCCGAGTCGGTATGTTGAGCGAGACGGGGGAATCTTTGTCAAAAATTGATGGATCGTGTACGTGAATATAAAGCACGGTCAACAGGATATCCAGATTCAAGTGCTGAGATCGTTCGCCGTCGGTCAGCAGCTCGCGACTTGCTGCCCCGCTAAATTCCATCAACTCGTGCAAGTTCTTGTCTTTTGGATATTTTCTTATATTTAACGTATTAAAAATACAAATTTGTAAACAATTACATACGCACTTATCGACATTTAATGTAACGATCAAATATATTCCATAAATATATATCATTTTAAGTATAGACAAGATGCAAAGCTCTTTTAATGTAATATTTGAATTGTTGTTATTGATGTCTCTATACATTTTTCTTATTTGTGGACGATCGTTATCACTTCATCTTTGTCGTAACATTAAATCTCCGCAACTATATTCTACTTCATTATCCTTATTGTTATATATAGCATAGTGAACTACTTGTTCAACATAAACGTCACGGATATTTCTAGCCCGTCTTTTTCTACACTTACAGGAATCTCTCTCCTATTCGTTATATCTCTTCGACTGATCAACTAATCTCCCCGTCTCTTTAATATATCGTCGAAACCGATCTTGTTAACAACTGTAGCCCCCTTTTTCACCGAATCTCGGGGGGGCTTGTCTCACATTCTAAACAAGTCGTATCTACCTATCCATCTGCCTTTGCCATTCATCTGTTGCGCGCTCGACTGCATTTCTACGTCGCTAACGTGCATTCCATGGTGTACCTCTGTCCTTCTTCTTCATCAGCATTTACTTCTTCCTCCTTCTCCTCTTTTTCCTCCTCCTCTTCTTCTTCTTCTTCTTCCTCTTCTTTTTCTTCTTTTTCTCCTTCTTCTTGCTCTTGTTCGACCTCGGCGCCCACCGTCGACGCTCGCGATGATCACCCCTCTCTCCCTTCTTCCTATTCGTCCGTTTTACACTCTACCCCGTCTATTTTCGAGCTCGTTGAAAAGCCGCAGGGACAGCGACGTTGGCATACATTGGCGTGTTCGCGAACGTTCGTCCTGATCGGCGTTGCCGCCAGGTCGACGATATTCGACGACCATCCTCTCTTCAGGAGGAAGAACGCCGGGAAAGAGAAAAAGGAGAGGAAGAAAGAGAGAGAGAGAGAGAGAGAGAGAGAGAGGGAGAGAGAGAGAGAGAGAGAGAGAGAGAGAGAGAGAGAGAGATACGGTAACGGGCGGAAGAGATACGGAGGCGACGAGAAAACCGCAAAGAACGATAATGACGAAACGAGAGGACGCAGAAAGCGAGTGGCACAAAAGAGAGGACATGGTGGAGGAGAAACTGGCTCGAGGTAATTGCCGGGGCGTCTCTTCGCACCTCATCATCATCATCAACAGCCGCGTCGCTCTCTTCGTCGTCGTCGTCGCCGCCGTCGTCGTCGTCGTCGTCGTGAACTTCGAGATGGTTCCTAAGACCACCCGTTAGAGTCAGCGACGGCGATTCCGTCGATTTTTTGTCTTTGACAGAATGAAAGAGCGTTACACTTGTCAAGAGCTTCGTCGAGACGACGACGAGCCGAAGTGCAGTCGGAGCATTTCGCAACGTACAGATAAAGTAGATAAGCCTCACGAAGGACATTAGGTATTTATGTGAGATACTTAGCGAGATTGAGTGTCACATTCAACCAGACGTGTCGTCATCAACTCCTTTCAGCTTTGCGGTTGCGGCGGAGTCGCAATTGTTTTCGCTAGACTTTACACTTTCTTTTTTTCATGTAATAACTTTTGAGAAACGATGTTATCTGCTATTATTGCAACCAGATTTTAAAAAATGATTTCTTCATTTTACAAAAGTAGTTCAAGCTCAATCCTTGAAAGTTGCCTTCTAAGCGAAAAAATGGCCCTGTCATCTCCCATGCAGGGAACAAGCTGCGATCCCGCCAGGATGCTTTTCGCGATAAAAAGAAGAGAGGTCAGCCATCAGGCGGGACCAGGATAAACATCGGAAACGGAGTCGGACAGTTGGCCATTGTCGCTTCCGAGGATCATAGATTTTACCTACTACGTCGAGGCTCGAAATTCCATCTACTGTCACGAAGCTGCAATGGCGCGGAGGGGACGAAATTGGGTCCCCTCGACGGCGCGGTGCGGTGGCGTTGACGGTGGCGAAACGGGACGCGCCGCGACGCTCGTGGAATGCGAACGACGCTGACCTGGACCACACATGACGGCAGAGTCGGCTCTAAACGACTATCGTGAAATACGATAATGCTCTGTCGTTCTTGCGCGCTGAACACGGAATCTGAACTTGGACACGGAAGACGGCTCGTCGAGAAGTCGAGACTGCAGCAGACCAGAGACGGACCTCTAGCGCTACTTATGATCATCTCTGCTGCTGCACGTGTCGCATCTTTTGACGGTGCACACTGCACGGGCCAACAGGGTAGCGAATATATTTAAGATTTTTCCCATTTTCTCAGTACACTTGTACGTTTCAAGTGTCACTTTCTACTTAACGGATTTCGAGAGATATCCTGAATCACAACGTCTTGCGCGCGCTCCGTCTTTCTTATATTCTGATCATGCGTCATGTCCAAATCAAAATTTAGAAAATCCTAAACATTTTGATTTTTCTTTTCATAATAACGCGGATATATGGTATAAAAAACTACGATGTCTTTTCTTCGCTCTAAGTTTTAAAATGAATCGTGGAAAAATCCAATTGATGAGCAAGTATGCCATAAACATTTCTAACGAAATAATTAAAATATCGCTCTCGTGTAATCGTCGTTAGCAAAGCAGGTGAGCGATTACCTCGACATGAGAGCGAGTGCTCGCCAATGCCTCTGCAAGATATTACGTCACTGTCTTAACGCCGTCACTCGTTCTTGACACAAACGATTATCGAGGATGAAAGAGAGCCGCAGCGAATGAAATGGAGGAAGCTGTCCCGCGTGGCCGACGTGGCGAGGCGTGGTGGAAGACCGGAGGCGACCGGATAGACGTGCACGACACATAGCGAGAGTACAACAAATATAAGGACAGGATATAAAGAGTGCCATGCACAAGAGGCAGAGAAAGCGGTAGAGTGAGAGAGAGAGAGAGAGAGAGAGAGAGAGAGAGAGAGAGAGAGAGAGAGAGAGAGAGAGAGAGAGAGAGAGAGAGGGAGGGGGGGAGAGAGAGAGAGAGGGGGAGGGAGAGAGAGAGGGGGAGGGAGGGGGAGAGAGAGAGAGAGAGAGAGAGAGAGAGAGAGAGAGAGAGAGAGAGAGAGAGAGAGAGAGAGAGAGAGAGGGAGGGAGGGAAGGGGTCGTGCAAAAGAAAAGACTGGAGTGTAACGGTAGCGAGAAAGAAGTGAAACTTACGAGCTGATTCTGATAGGCGGTGACAGCGGTGAATATAGCCTCCGGGAATATAAAGGTCTTGTGCGGTTCCTTCTCGAGATCCACAATTGGTTTCGCCGTTCCTGAGTCTGGTCGCTTCACCAGGTGGATCCTTGGCTGGTACTTGTGCATAGAGTTCAGCACCAGCTGCAAATTGTTTCGGTTTATCATCGTCTGTCCGATCGACCGACCAACTACTCATCATTGTGGACCCAATCGCGATACACGAATAAACGCTCGCGCACACGACCGGTTAAGTGCAAAAATTTCAAAATAAACGTTTCACTTCCTGCCATTTGCGCTGAAAGTGGTGTATCATGTTTATATAGGGGCAACCGGAGAGAAATCCTTTTATACAGAAGGTAATTGTATAATGTTTGAAACGTGCGATTTGTAATCTATTCACTTTTCGGCTTTTAATTCTTTGTTAATTAATCTTTGTTGTTAATCTTATTAACCTTTCGTCAATAGAAGTTTTTTATTTAAAGGTGATTAATACGTTAAACGTCGTGTCGGTCACTGGTGACCGACGATGAACTTTCCGTTCAGGTCGCGCCCATCATTGGTGACTGACAAAATAAAATTAGATAATATTTTAATATTAAATAATAGTAATATTTTAACATTACAAATTAAAAGTTTTAAGATTATAAATTTAAGATTATAAATAAAAAAAGAAAATATATCTACATATTACTTTTATTATTTAATATATATTATATTAATGTATTATATATATATGCGCGGCGTAAACGGAAAGATCAACAAAAAATGCTCAGCGCTTAATGCGTTATATATACAGAAATTTATTCCAATATACGTATACAATATACGTATACGGAGAAAAAATTTTATAGTAAACATTACTATAGAATTTTTATAACTTAAAAATATATTTATATTTAACACTAACTTTTATATTACTTTATATTTTCCATTTATATTTCTATCCATTTATGCTATTTATATTTTAAAATACTGCTCTGAAATCTAAAGTAATTTCTTTTATAACATGACGAAGAAAAGTATAATTATAAATTCTAATATAGTATCTTAGTTGCATATTATCAAAGTACGAACTTTATTAAAAATATAGGAAATATAAGTACTATGTGAATTTTGTAAATTAATATATCTGGGAAAATATTTTAATAGGAACATTGGAAAATATTTCAATATATACATACGTAATAATTTTTATACTGTCATAAATAGAGTACGATATTTCTAATGAAATTCATCCGTCAAGTCAGTTGGTTCTTCTTGCCAAATTTCATTGAATTTCATTGAATATCTTAGCAATCGAACTGCACAAATAGTTCGATATGTACTTCGGTTAACACGTTAACACCGTCTGGAAGTTCGGTTGCGTTGAGAAATCAAGTAACAAAGAAACATTGAACATTAAAAATTGATTGTAATATTTTCTTGCTCCAAAGTACTGTGATACTACAATGCGAATCATTACATTTTTTAAATACAAACATCAGCATATGATCAAATTATGTTGGAGAAGAATGAGAAAGAAGTGAGGGATCAGGAAGAAATAAAAGGATGAAGTATGTACGAGAGTATGTGTATGAGGGGGAAGAAGAAACAGAAAAAACCATATTATGTTATAGAAAATTTTAATATAGAATGTAGTAATTATTTCACTTAAAAAGCTTAGAAGATTAACCCTCTGTGTAATTTATGGGTCGTTTAGGGGCCGGTTAAAATTTTCATTGATCGTTACTTTTCAATAGTTAGAAGAGAGGTTTCTATATGAGAACCTCATGTAAAAAAACTAAATTGTAGGATATAGGAAGAGTCTATACCGGCTGTGGCTACAGCTAGTTTCGTCGCTTCGTTGCAAAATTGTGAATAAACAAAGTCGTGAGTAATTTTGAAATGATCTACGAATTACACGACGTTAATGAAAAGTATTACATTTTTTTTCATTTGCCTTTTTTCTTTGAGTATGAGCATATTTTTCGTATTAATTCGCAAATGAATATAATATAACTTAATAAAAATTATATATTTAATGTTTTATTATTATGATTATTTATTATATATATTGTAGAAATTTTCATATAAGACCATTTTGCTTTAATTGTATTGAAGTATAATTTTTTTGTTATTTTTTATAAACTTCTATTTTTCATAAACTTTATTATTATTATTATTATATGCATATCTTATTAAAAATAAAGAATATTTTGAATAAAAATTGCATTTATTTATTTTAGAAACCGCTTTATTTTAATATTTAGAAAATAACAATTGTCAGTTTATCAATTGCCAAAATTATATTTTTTTAGTGAGCAGCTTAAAAAACTATATTTCTTTTTTGTGAAAGATCGTTTCTCGAAAGTATGTAATTTTAAATAGATTTTCTTTTCTTTTAACATATTAAAGTTATGATTTTTTATGAAACTAGAAAAATTCCATTTCTCGCCGTATTTTGCTAAAAAAAGCAAAATATAAATATTGGGAGCTAAATAATTTAAAAAATAGAAAGTAGAAATCTGAAATAATGACAAAAAATTTTTTGCGATATTTTTTACTCATGTATGAAGGAAAGTACTGTTAAAAAATGACTCGTAAATTATATTGCAATAACGAAACAGAAAAAACAAACCACACGGAAAATAAAAAATTCTTTTGAAAAACTTATTATATTCTTTAGAAAGATAAAATTTACTGACAGTATTCCTACATTACTAAAAAATATAACAAAACTGAAAAAAACGTGAAAAGAACATGAAAATTACGTGAAAAAAAATTACAATATCTTTTCTGCGTACGACAGCGTATTCAAATCTCGTGTTATAATTAAAAAAAAGAGAGCGCGTTGCAGTTGGATTACCTCTCAACATGAAAATCGCAGGTATCTGACTTCGTTCAATTAAAAGCTGAAAGCGGCCAAGTACCGACCGATCCAAATGGACGATATGGATGTGGCACGTTGGCGCGATCAGTAGTGACCAGCTCTTTGTATTTTTTCTTACACTACACGCATGTCTATCTCAGTTCTCATTTCGAAGGGTCCCATTAGGGTTCCTGGATCACCGACGATGGCTCATCCTTTCCGGCGAAGACGTAGACGCGTCGAGATTACATCGAGCCTCACGTTCGCTGTCGCCTTTCGTCATTCGGGGATTTGAATCGGCCGTGGGCGATCCGAGAAGCGCGCGATAGCATTAACAACGGCAACAACAACAAGAGAGAAGGACGGGAGCGTGGAAGAAAAAGCGTATGAATTAGAAGCACTTCGGGGTCGGGCGCGTTCTCTCCGTTACCATTCAAAAGAATCACTTTGCCGCGTCTGGCAGTGTGTAATACCCTGAATACAAAATGAGTACCGTGAAGAAGTGCTGCCCCGATCGGAGTTCCTATTTACGTCAGTCATCCTATGAATTAAGGGGGTTCCCCTGATGTTCCGCTGAGAAAGAGAAGCTCGGCCTGACAAGGAGGGGTGAGTGAAGGAGGAGGGAGAGGAGAGGAGAGAGATGCAGAAGGAGAGCGAGGAAGACGAATACTGAGATTCCCGTGACTTATGACAAACGAGACAACGGACTGTCAAATTATCCTGCGGAGCGACTAAATCGCGCCGCCACACCGAAATCCGTTTTGTCGGTGTCATTTTTCTCTCTTTACGCTCTTACGCGAGCAGGTCGCGAGTTCCGTAGGTGGCTTGAATTCTCGCAATGATCACTACGCGTCTTTCGTAATGTTTTGTCTTTCTTCCTTGAAAAATGTGAGAAGTCGATTCAATGAACACGTACACGCGCGGTTAAATGCAATCAATTCTTCGCGAGCGCATGCGCGAGAATTAATAATTTAATAAAATAATGATTTCAGTGAAAGTAGAATATCATATACACATGTGTATATATGTGTGTGTGTGTAACCGCGTATTTAAAGGAAATTATACCTATACGTTATTACTGTTACTTCTCTTCGCGTTTCTTGAAATTACCGTGATCACCTTATAATGTCATCACCGCTCGACTTTACCAATTGTTAGCTTTCCAAAATTAATCGTATTACGTTGAATAGTATAGAAAAAAAAGAAAAAAAAGAGGAAATTATACACACGCAGGAAGAAATGCATTTCGCAGTGACGCAGGCGCGGGTAATAAATGCGACGTAAAAGCTTCGCGACGAGATGGAAATGCCACCTCGTTGCGTTCTACTTTTCTGAACTTTGTTGAACCTAACAATCGATGCTGGTGGATTTATTAATGTAACAGACGGACGCGGTAGGCGTGCACTCGCTGTCTTCGGCCGACGATGTCGTACTTTTAGCTACAGCTGTGCCAAGTAACGTATAAAAATTTAATGTGCGGGCTGTCTCGGATCGGCCACGTCTGCCATCACGAAGGAACGTGGAAAACTCAGTGTAAAACGGTCCGTAAGAAAATATCGACTGTTCGATACAAAACTCTCCAGCGTGCGTGTGCTGATAATTGACCATAGCTAAATGACGCGCGACAAAAAAAGAAGCTATCCTTCGATCTTTTTGTTTCGACACATCAGAAGGTTCCTTTTTTATTTCTTCTCACCTTTCAGAACTCACAACATAAGAAACAATGTTCAGATCAGAAAACGTTTAAAAAATATTCTATTGAATATCGGAATAGAGATGATAAGTTTAAGTTATATTGGTTTTATGTCTTATTATATGTCTTCATATACTTATTTTGAAAGAACTAATGCAAGTAGGATCGCAAAATGTTTAGAACATAAATACTTCTATCTAAGTTTCATTAAAATTGGAAAAATATTACAGTTAAAAAAAGGAAAACCTGATGTAAGAGAAAAAGAGTAACTTTCTGAGTGTCTAGAAAATTTGTATTAATATTATTCTCCACCATTAGTGGATATATGTAATCGTTAATATAACTACTGACGTATTATCAGTTGGAGTAAAGTTTCCTGCAGTTGTAATATATACTATTTTACATAATAATAAATAATAGAAAATAATAAAAGTTATTTTTATTAATAAAATAATTGAAGTTGAATGTAAGGACGGACAAGATAAAGTAAGCTATTATATGATGAGTTTAAATTTAAGTACAACAACCACACATCGTATATATAGAGCATGTTAAATTAAATAGGAACTGAACTGAATTCTTATATCATTTTTCATGTATAACGCTTTTATTATTGAAATATTTGTTGAAGGAAATTTTTATTAATAAGCACATGTGATGATGAGGAATAATCTCTGTAGGTCAATTTGAAAAGATATGTCTAGCTTGTTTTTCTGAAAATCCTAACAATGACGAGTACAACTATATGTTTGCAGTTCAACAATACGTTTGTGATGCTGCATAACTTTTATCTACCGTTCGCAACAAAGTTTTGCTTCTTATTGTCAGCCAATATTCATTGTTACTAAGAGATTATCAACAAGCCTATGACAAATTTCTTTAAACTGTTTTATAGAATTTATCTCATTACAGCACGTGCACTCTCATCCATCAAATTTTTCCGTAATTATTATCTTAATAGATAATATAAGCACTATATAAAAAACAGTATAAAATTTATTTTAGTGTGCTTTACCTGTACACGATGGGATCACACTTAAATTCAAACATTTTGTATCAGATTATAACAAAAGTTCATAGAATTGTTTAAAGTGGCTTTTAAACATATGAAACTTTGGCATGATTAATGCATGGCTTGATTATTTGATATGTGGATATTTTCTGACAGGTGATATTTCTTATAAATATAAGCACAATCAAATCGATTTTGGTCATTTTATATCTATTTGGAAATGTGTGTGTTGTAGAAAATGAGATGACATTTTCGACATCTTATATCAATTTCCAGAAAGATAAAATATGGTACAAGCAACGAAAATATACATACGTAGCGTTTATGAAGATAAGAGGGAGCTGAAAATATTGTTCGTAAGTGGAGTGCTTCACAATTTGTCTGAAAGAAATTTTAATCGCCTTCATTAAATTGTTTGAAGGCAATAGTCAAGGAGAAACGTTTGAAATTAGTTATTTCGAAAGATGGCATTTTTCACCAACACAAGATCTCGTATCTCTGATTTGCCAAAAACTATTGCGGTTTAAATGGAATGTTCCACCACACTCTCCATATTTCTAACATAGCACTTTTGAACTGCTATTTATTCTGATCTTTATAGAATTTGGTTAATGATAAAAACTTCATTTCTTTGGAGGCTTGTAAGAACCATTTTGAGCAATTCATCGCCGAGAAAGATGAAAAGTTCTGAAAGGACAGAATCATGAAGCTACCGCAATGGCAAATAATAGTGGAGCAAAATGGTGTATATAAGGTTGAATAGATAATCGTACATGTATAATAATTGTCTTGGTATTTCATTAAAAAATGCTGTAAACTTTTATTACAACCTAATACATATAGGTATTTAACAATTAATGACACAATGTTTATATGTAAGTAGAACATATCGAACTGAATAGGTAAATATTCTATCATTTTGCTACTCCATGATATTTATTATAGAATAAATTAAACACCACTAAATATATACGCGGGAAGCGGATGAGTAATCTCGAATAAATGTTTTAAATCTGTTGACAATCTTTAGGCAACGGCAGACGGTGCATGATACTGAACTGCACAACTTCACGATTACGTCTGTCGTTGCCAGATCATTAATAAATTCGACGTCTGAAATTTTATCTACAGAGTTCATTCTATCACTTTCCTGGCATTCATTTATTGATATTTTATAATTAATTTCTTAATAATTATCGAAAAATTTGCAAATTGTTAGAGATTTTTTCTATTTGATTTGGTGTATTCTAACACTACACCTTGTATGTTAAAAAATAAATATTCTCACCTTAAAAACCAAATTACACTAATATATTAAGTGTGTTCAATATAATCAAATATTCCATAATAAGATATTTAGAAATCTTAAATAAAGTTTTTTTCTTTAAATCAATGATACAATAAGTTGAATGCTTTATCCACAAATTGTACACCAACAAAATACTGTTTATATATTGCTACGTATTAGCTACATATCGGTATTTCAGTTATTTAAAAAAAAAAGTAGATGGTTTGTAGGGATGTTTCTGGAATAAAAAAATATAGAGATAGATTGTCTCTATCATATTTGTACAGTCATATACGCGCGCACGTGAAATGTTCTAATTTCGAAATTCTGAAATTTATAGTATTTCATCCCAGTTTCCCCTATTTTCTGTAAAAACAATTCTGTAAAAACTGAATACTTACGAGGGAGTATATTTTTGGCGGCATCAATTTTTTTTAGACTATGGTTTTTAATCGCTTAGATTTATCAATCGATTAGAAGAAGGTATTTTCGCGTCACGCAAAATAGATTATCAAGTGATTGTATTATGTTTTTAATAACAGGATAATCGATGCGTTCTCCTCTGCGATACTGAAATTAAATCGAACTGAGAGAATGAGGGAGTACCCGTTGATTTTGTTCCATTCGCTTTTCACCGGTTCGCCATTCACCATTCAAAACAACGAGCGAGACATTTCGCATCGTGTCGGGTCGAGAGATCGATGCGCGTTACTACGTAAGCGCCAGCGTATAGCGCGATTAAATTACTCATTCCGCCGTTATAACGGCTTAATAATAGAGGCTCATCTTCTCGCGAGCTGACAAGTGTCACAAGGAATTAACCGGATACCTCCACGTGGGAAATAGACGTGGCTGGTCTCCGGGCTTATCAACCAATAAATTTAATAAGAAACTTAACACATTCGTCATAGTGCACGCGAGCCAGAGAGTCTGCACTTCGTCAAAATTGAACTTTTATAGCAAGTCGGAGATACCGAAAGTGCACAGGAAATGTATCTGTTAGATATATACAAATTAGTGTTTGATCGCCAGATTTTTATTTCTCGGTTCTTCTCTTTGCCTTCGGAAACTTCAGTCGATCGGGGATAAAGAATCAATATCGCTCTTTATTCTTTATTATTATCTTTTCAGCTTATTGTAGATTAGAAAACTACCTACAGAAAAACACAGACAGAAGTCGTTTATGTGATACTTGAAAAGATATACAAATTTTGTACGGCAGAACAATGCGAACTTGTAGCGCGTTTCGCCATTGGATCCTAATTAGAACAAGTGGAGTAAAGAAGGTGAAAGAGGAAAGAATCTTTCAAAACAAATACTCACATGCCCATGCCTGTCCATATCGTTGTTGGTGAGTTTGACTTTCTCAAAAGAGACAACTTGCTTTCGGAGTTGTTCGCCCGTGAAAGGCGAGTCCGGGTGGACGTAGAGCCGCGCTGGCGCTGGCGGGTCAGCCTTACCGGCCACCAACCAGCAGCTTCTGTGATATGCGTATCGATATCTCTTATTGTCAACTGGCACGATGTCCATCAGAACGGCATATCGACTGTCCGCCTTCAGGCCGTTGAATGAGACGCGACATGTCGGAAACATTCGCCTGCACAAATGAATAAACAAATCCACTGTTAAATAAAATTTCCAGAATCATCATCGAACTAGAGTACTTTTATAACTGCACTCGAATCTCTGTGTAGTGCAACCATTGCAAAATTTCGGTACCAGCTTGATCTTAGCAACGAGATAATTCAATGTACACATTACGCTCATTTCTTTCGTCCTAATTTAAGAGGAATGCGAATTTCTCGACAACATACTATGTATGAATATTTATATAGAACGATATTTATATAAATATTACTTTAAATCAACCGAAACTCTTGATTCGTGTTTCGTCGAGACAAAACTAGAAGCGAGTCCTTCTATGTAAAACATTTCAGATTAAATAAAAATCTTGGTGAAAGAAATATGCAAAATTCGATGTGACAATGAGTACGTATGAGTGTGTGTGAAAACAAGGATCGATAATCAACAATTCAGGATAGTTCGCGATGATCTTAAAGGGTTAACCCGCCACGGTCACCGAAAGTGCACGAAACAGAGAATGGATCTCTCTCAGATGGCATGGGTTGGCCAGGGGGGGCGGGGGGATGGGCCCGAGTTAGCGGTTAAGGCAAGGAGGGCGGGTGGCCGCGGGGGTAGAGAAGCCGGCGTGAATGTTTTGCCTCGGAGGCCAAACATTAATACCGTGTCGGGCCCCCTGCTGCTCGACCACTAAAACGCGGGGACACCCGCCGATCTTATCTACGTCTTCTCCTCGGTCCTTGTCGACTCGGTATGCATTCATCCCGCCAGCGCCACGAGTGTGAGTAATGCTTTTATTTATCAAGCCGTCTTTTGTTAATGAATTGAACTCGGGAGAAGGTGGACCTCCTCACCCTCACGTCGCACCGTCCCCTTATCCCCTTGCAACCTCCTATCTTCCTTCCTTCGCTTCAGCGATTTTGAGCCTGATTTTCAACCCTTCGTCTCCTGACTGCTTCTTCTTCACCCATCCGCCCTTCCGCCCCCGCTGTCCTGCTTTCGCGCGACCATTTCTCTCGTGACGCCGAATGTACAGCCGATGGCTCCCTGACTGCTTTCTGACCGGATTATCTGCCAAAAATTCTCGCTTCGACGTTACGAGAAAGATTGCTTTGTATGGGGTAAGTTTGAAAGCTCAATCGCGATTCCATCAGCACTTCTACGAAGTTATTTCAGACACGAGGACATTTGTCTTGTCGCGGACAAACCTTTTTGACACCTAACACACGTTACCGAGATTTTATTGAACTTTTCAATGTCACGCTACGAGGATGATCCCAGAAGTACCTGACCTGACGTATAGATAGCGGTTGTTGTTTGAAAAGAATGACCATGGTAGAAAGTACCAACCTTATAAAGCTTAAGTTTGAAGTTTGACGACGTTACGTTGTTTAGTATTTGTGTGGCGGCCATTAATAGTGAACGCTCTCAGTGAATTTGTAAACATGGAAAAAATTGGTCATCGTTATGTGATACAATACTTTCATTTGAAAGGCCTCAGTCTAACCAATATCAAAGCAGAGTTAGATTCTACTCTGGGGGAGTCTGCTCCTTCGTTTACAACAGTAAAATATTGGGTGGCAGAGTTTAAACGAGGCCGTACGAGCTGCCAAGACGACTTCGCAGTGGTCGACCAAATGAGGTGACTACGCCAGAAATGGTGAAGAAAATCCACAGAATGGGTGACCGTCGACTGAAAGTGCGCGAGTTAGCAGACATGGTAGGCATTTCAAAAAGTGCTGTACATCGCATATTGACTGAAAATTTGGACATGAGAAAGCTGTGCGCAAGATAGGTGCCGCGATTGGAACAAAAACAGCGTCGTGAGGATGTTTCAATCGAGTGTTTGGCGAAGTTTCGCAGCAATAAAACCGAGTTTTTACGTCGATTCATAACCATGGATGAAACATGGGTCTATCACTTCACACCTGAGGCGAAAGAACAGTCAAAACAATGGACCAAGGTGACTTGATGGCTATTTTGAGGAGCTCGACGATTCCCACTATCAACAGGGTATCGAAGCTATTGAACATCGCTGGGAAAAGTGTATTGAGTTAAAAGGAGACTATGTAGAGAAATAAAAATATTTTTCTCCAAATTTTTTGTGTTTTCTTTGTTAGGTCAGGTACTTCTGGGACTACCCTCGTATATATCATTGCTCCGATTCATGGATTCTTATGGAACTCTCAAGAAAAGCTGCTATTGCAGCTCGCGTGATTTATATTTAGGATAAAAATTTAATTTGAACATTTTTGTTATAAATAAACCGAAAAAGTGATGTGTGTGATGAGAGAAAGGGGAGGGAAAAGAAAGAGAAATTCATTAACAAATCGGCAGATTTTTACAAAGTACATGAAACAGCATGGAAACACATGGCACGAATTGTGAGGTTCTGAAAATTTCTTCACGACAAATCATGGAGAGGCGCGACCAAAGGACGAAGGCAGCGGAAGGGGCGGTTTCTGAAGAGGGCAGCACCGGAACTACGTAGAGGGTGGAAGGTCTAAGCGACGATAAGGGTGAGGCGAGTTGACGGCTGAGGGGAGCGACGACCAGTGCCGCTAAGACAGAGATCCAATTACCGACGCACGAGTAGGCGCGCACCCGGGTAGGGGAACGAGCTCATCCTTCTTTCCTTCCTCCATCCTGCCCTCGAAGGGAGAAGCTTAGGACGAATAAAGAGCGGGGATGTTGCCATCATCGTGGCGGGCAATTAGGCGCGCGTTGGCCGCGTCACCGCTCGTCCGCCTTCCATCTTTTCCGCCTCTTCTCTCTTGGCTTTCCAGGAGCTTCACGCTTCTTTGGGAACGACCTTCCGATGTTAACCCTCCGCGATCTCCCACGCACCCCATCTTGGACCACGAACCGGCATAAGCGACCCTTCAACGTATAGGCACCTGCTTTCTTCTCTCCTTTCATGAGAGGGAGAGAGAAATGAAGAGGAGAAGGGAAAGAGGGAGAGCGATGTTTAGAAAAGAAACATAATTACATGTATACAGAATATAATTCATTAAAGCGATTATAATCTGTAAATGTGAATGTAATTGGGTACCACATTTCCTCCATGATATTTCAATATTTTGTGTTAAATATCTTACGATACCAAAAATTGAATCGATATTAAATTTTCAAAGTCTTATCATTTCCGAAATGACGTGTATTCCAATTATCTCGAAAATCGTGCCACTGCGCGTTGGGGGATATACAAGAGATTTCTTGTAGATGGTTAACTTCGCATCGAATGTCAGCGTTTCCGTCGTTAAGTCGGAGATATATACCTGAGAAGGTGGTATATCGCGAGCCGAGACAAACGCGAACATAAAACTTCTCGACCGCCTTCCGCGAAGAGGTAGGAGAGAGGCAGAGCCCCGAGATCCTTCCAGGACTCCCCCTCGTGGTGTGATCCCACTCGAATCCTCACGCCTCCAGTCGCCACTGCTCGTTCCAAGGACCCTTATAAACTGGCATAAGCTTGCCCGGTTTCTACACCGGTTCGACTAATTGACTGACGGTCAATATAGCAATTTAACCCGCCGCTTGCCACCAGTTCTCCACTTTTTATTCTTCTTTTCCTGCTAGTCTTCTCTCCGATTCGGATCCCCCTCCGCTTCCCGATCCCCTACTCTGACTGTTCGGGTAATCTTTCACAGTTCTGTGTTATTCCCCGGTATATATTTGTATTTTTCTATCCATGCGCAACGAAATTTACATTATATTATCTTATATAGAAACGGTTTAATTCTGCATACAATCTCTCTGCAAACTTTTTCTTTTAAATTCTCAATACTACTACGTTCTATTGTCTTTCCATATTTTATAATAACGTTAAAATTTAGAATTTCGACAATGCGAATTGCATAAAATTGCTTTGTAGTCCCGATAGATTTATATTCTTTAAAATATAATCGAAATGTATTCTTCTTTGAAATTCTATATTTATAATTGATGGTTTAGTTATAATTATAATACTATAATCAGTAAATTTTAGCTGAAAGGATTAGTTAATAGCAATTGTTTCCATTATTGAAGCAATAGTAGATATAAAATTACGTGTTATCGTATGCAAAGAAGAAATTTTATCGCCATAAACGCAGAAAGGATTTCATAAGCGTATAATAAATTTGTGCGCTATATATTTTGTAATGGAATCTTATTTCTATTAGTCAAAATCAGTGAAATACAAGACGGAAAAGTGAAGTAGAAATGTTTTTGCTGATGATTAAAGAGAGTAAATACTATTAAAATAGAAAGAAACTTCTTATCATTTATTGAATAAGAAAAGTGTTATTTGTAGATAACTGTATTTTTAAAAATAACATATGACACTGACAAAAAAAAATATATTTTGTAGCTTAATGTTCATACTTTTACGTAATATTAATGAAATTAGAAAAAAATTTGTTGCTGCTATAACGTCATCCATCAGAATCATTCATCACTTTTGAACTATTTTACTCCATTCTTCCTCAGAATTATGACTTGATAACTAAATATTGACAACAAATTTGTGTTTAGCGGTCCAAAATACATCGGAAATGATTGTTCGCACTCACGAGATCGGTCTATATATTACACATCAATAAGATATTTTTTTAATCGGAACTATTTTAACGATTTGTTTTAAACGAGAGTAGCATTCTAATTGTCATGAAAACAAAATGAATGGCATCTACTCTTGCCTCGATACTTCTTGCTCAGTCGGCGCGATTAAGAGATCCGGCGTTCCCGACACGATCGGAACGTTTTGCTTATGTTTAGGTGTAACGTGTCGGGAGAGTGACGGCTTGCTCAGGGTAACGACACGTTTCGCCCTAACCCTAACCTGTTTCTATCGCCGGGTCCCTCTTGGGAATTTTCGTGGGTGCCGTATCGTGTCGTGTCGTGTCGTGACCCGTGGCAGAACGTGATTGAGTGTGCAGCGACACCGAAGTCAGGCGGGCGAGGCAGTTTTGGGAACCGAGGAGCTGAAGGGGTGAGCAGCCGCGAGTAATGAGAAAGAGTTGATTCGCTCTGTCGGTGTCCAGACGAGAAAGAGGGAGAGGGAAATTCCGACCAGCGATGCATTAGCGGCTACGTCGTCCCGAGGGAACTCTACTTGTAGCATATGGTTGCCTCGGGGATCGCACTCGCTTGTCCCTGAGGAACCAGGCTGGAATTGTTTCCGTCTGCGAGAGCCTTTGAACGGTTTTTCGTAAAACACGCTCGGTGATTTAAAGGACATTTCTTCGACCTCGGGAAAAATCATCTTCAAGCAATAATTCAATATTGTGCTTCGAAATTTTATGGTTGCGTGGCTACGGCAAATTTATCGTCGCGACCATCTTGCAAAGATACATGTGTAACTGCGAATTGCGTGCAATTTATACAAATTACCGAATGATGTTTCGCAATATGAATTTATGTAACATGCATTGTAACTTGGAAAAAATAGACTTCGAAATCGAAACCATGGCACAAACATCGGGAGTGCAATTTAAACGTCGCAATAGTCAACCACGATATGCGACAGGATTCAATCCAGACCTAGCGATCATTTCGCAAGATTACCTTTGGTGTTATTTCTGGAGGTAAAACCCAACGTGACAACCAACATTGTCAGAAGATGGAAACTGACAACTTGCGATATTTTTTGACCTCACCTGCCGGTCTTTGTGATGATCATTTCCGTGCCAAGCTCATTGAACTTGTCCCAGAGATCCTTCGTTTCCAGGTGGCAGACTACGTGTCTCAGTTCTTCGCAATTTGAGCGCTCCTGCAGGAGAGGATTCACCGGCGAGATGCCTTTGCTGCTCGTGCTGCCAGTATCGTCGGTTTCAGGCTCGTCCTCCGCATTGATCGTCTCCGGAACTGGCGGAGCACCGCGCACTACCCCTGAACCGCTGGCTTCCCTTTCTACAATCAGAAATTTGCACGGAGGAACGTTCAATATGGCTGGTTTACATCGTAAAATATCAAAGCAAACGAGTTAGGTTGGGCTAAATATTATGTTGGTCATAATACGCTTTGCTTATGTTTACATTTTTATATTTAGGATGAATTTTATATTTAGGGAGATATGCTGTAGTTTTCGAATTTTATTTTCAAAATATAAATTTATAAAATTGAATTTTCAATAATATGTAAACTTTCAGTAATATGTAAACTTTGGGATTATTTGGGTTTATTCTTTGTCAAAAAGAGTAGTCATAATAGTATTTTTTACTGTAAAAACTTACATTTAAAAATACTCGAATTCGGTCATACTTCCTGCCAGAATGAACAATATGGCCATAACATAATGTGAGACTTATTTTACAATAAAAATACATGGTTAATGATAATCGCAACATATAAAATACACTGCTCAAAAGAATTATGGCATAGATAATTTATTGCCGAACATTGGCCAACTTTGACTGGCGATTACTTCGCAAAAAATTATTGTAGACTAATGATTTTTTGTTCAAAATGAAGCTTGAAGTCTCTATTTTAACAATGTACCTCCGTTTTTTGCATGCGATGTATTTATTAACTGTGGAAGTGACGAACCGCGGGATCCTTATCTCTTCTGTCACGGACACACACACACATGCGTGCATACTTGGTCCGAAGGCCAAAAACAACGATATTTTTGAAGGGCTGTAACTTTGCGAAAAAAAATTGTAGCGTCTCCATTTTTTTTTCAAATTGAAGGGGAAGATTTGAATTTTATGACGATGCAAACGGCCCCGAAAAAAATTGTTCACGTCCGTGCATTCCGTCAAACTTTGCAATTTTCAGTATACTAAACATGCCCTCAGATGTCAGGGGTTACAGAGATAGGGGTGCATCGCATGCAAAAAATGGAGATATTTTCTTAAAGTAGAGACTTCAAGCTTCATTTTGAAAAAAGTGTCATTAGTTTACAATCATTTCTCGCGAAGTAAAAGTTGGCCAATTTTCGGCAATAAATTATCTATGCCATAATTCTTTTGAGCAGTGTGTATTGCAATTAATATGATTAATCATAATGCACTTTTATTTTAAATATATGTAAAAGAAAATTGTAGAAAAATAAAAAAATAATATAAATGTTATAAAACAAAACGAAATATTGCAAACATTGCAAAATCGAATTATACCCTTCTTTAAAATAAAATTATTATCGAATTATTTATCAAACGTTCGAATAATATTTTTTTTTAATTTAATTCTCATATTTAGTATCTCATATTTAGTTTATTAATAATCAATTAACATGCGTCATTTCTCTCAATATATCATAAAATGTTAAATGAAATGCCATATCTCTTGCACGCCAAAGGTGCTATATCTCTCTAACTAGTCAGATATATTCCAAAAAATTTGGAACATTTACATTTCCACACTAATATACTATAACTTACACCAACAGACTTCCCACACAAATTAAAAAATTGGGATTAACTATCATGGAAGAAAACTTTTGTACTGGCACTCTTTGCGCTCATTATCAGTTTTTAATGTTCTTACTTGGATTTTATAAAATATTAAAATGGGCGGTAAATATAAATAAATAATAAAAAATATTTAATAAATAATTAAAAAATAATTTATAAATCTTCATGCATTATATATTTAATATTTGATAAAATTTACGCAAAACGACGATTATTGAACATTTTATCTTATTTAAACTACAGTAATTATTTTACATATTGTAAAAAATGAAGTATTCGCTACCAAGAGAAATTGAAAAAAACTATCATTAATTAGTAAATATCTACATCAGAACAATTAGTAATTATGATAATGTAAATAAAGGATAAAAATTACAATATTTTGACTATTGAAAATATGTTTGTATTTTACTTTGAATTGAAGTAACATGTTTATTACAAAATTGTTTTAAACAATAAAATATTTGCTAAAGCCTCTATTCCAGGTTGAATTTTTACTTTGTCAATCGGTAGCAGTCAGGTTGTTTGAGTTGATCAGAATACCACATACTTATATTCTATAATTATCACGGAAAAAATATATGATACATGGGATAATTTCTAGCATAAAAACATAAAGGACAGTTGTCTTTATAATCTTCGTACAGCTAATCACAACAATTACTTGCATAAAGTTCTGCAAAATATATTATCTTACTTCTTTTATAATAAAATGCGATATAAAATTATTGCACCATCTTTTCCGGTTATAATGAACTGCTTCAGCATGAGAATTTATATAATTCAAAAGATAAAGTTTCTACGATAGTTCATATCTAAAGTTCGTCGACTTCATGTGCACTTTTGGCTATGAGGAAGCCACTATCAGAGAATAGCGCTTGTAATTTGCAATACGGTCCACAACATTTCTCTTCTAACATTAGTACCAAATTATCCTCCGGGAATGTCATTCGTCGTGGCGTCATTAGTATAAATTATTGCCTGTCTTACAGCCGTGGTTTTTATTCGCTGTCGGTGCGCCGAGTACACGACCGGAAAGGATGGCGGGAAGGAAACCGCTTCCGGCATGAGTCGATAGAAAAATCGAGAATTGCCGAAGGACGGTCAAACTTTACCCCTCAAAGAGAGAGCTGGAGGCACCGAGAGCCGAGCTTAAGGACCGACATTTATCACCGGCATGTCATTGACGCTCGTTTTTATCCGTTCAGCTGTAGCCACTAAAATAGCGACTAAAAGGCGAACGGGAGTTAATGTGAATGGACCGTGCACGCCTGATGAATATTTAAGAATCGTTCAATTACAGTTATATCTCTTGCCATTTTTCGTTTTGCGCACGAAATATTCCTCCTCACGCGGTACCGCGCGCGCACGCTCTTTCGCCGCTCTCCGCCGCGGCGGCGAGCGAAATTAAAAACAAGGCTCTCTCGTCGATTCGTAATTTACGGGTGGGTCCCCATTACCGCAAATTGTTATTAATTTCGTTCCGAGGGAGCCGACGCGCGCGGGCGCGCTCGCTCATTCGCGCATTGCGATAACTCGATTCTAAATTACGTACGACAGGCCTCGACGTCGATTAATATCTTTCTCGGTTGCGCCTTATTGCGCTGCATCCTGCTCGCGCCGACTCTGCGAAGTTTCGCGGCATTTTGCAAGTGTGCTTTGCCGCGCGCGTCCGAAGAAATACGCGCGTTTACATATGCATAAACGCTAATGAAAAATCGCTCTCTCGTGCGAAACGCAATTATTCAACCGCTCGCCTGATGACTCTATTAACGGAGGATAATAAGGAATGCGATCGTGTTTCGTTGAAATTGGGATTTTAATCGAAAATTAAACGGACACCTGGGAGAGGTTTGATGTTAAACGATAGGTAGGTGGATGATATTGAACGATAGGTTGCAGCAATGTCGCCCGACCGCTTCAACTTTATCACAAAAGTCTCGGTGGTTGCCGAAAAATTACATCAAGCTAAATTACAAAGGATAGTATAGAAATTGAACTTCGTGACTGCCTAGTCATGAGATAATAAATTTATGTCCAACTTCGTTACTAGTCAGTAATGTAACGTTCATTCTCCTAATGGCTTTATAAATTAGTTAGCTAATAGCTAGATAAGAGAGACTACAGTTATGAAGATAATAAATACAAAAGTGAAAGATCACGAATTGCGTGCTAATAACGTAATGATCAATAACGTAAAGATTTCTGTGCTTTTTAAGATTTGTACGGAGTAATATAAACTTAATTTTGATTTGCTACCCAATTTCAAAATGCTAGTAACGGTGCAGTAACAAGATTATGTACTAGCTTGTAAGATCACAAATAGATGGCTGTAGCACAGCGATATTATTAATTATTAACTAATTGTTTTCCATCATGTTGCTTTTTAGTTTTTTATTGTTGGTTATACTTGACTAAAATTGATGCTTGACGATTCATAATTCTGAATAAAACATCACTTAACACGATTGAAGATGGAACTAGATAAAGTTCATCTTCGCCGCTGCATGTTTTATCACTTTAATCGGGGTGAAACTGTTGCATCAACTAAAAGACTGATTTATGAGATTTGTGGCGAGACTGTTATATCTGTTGCTGTCTGTGAGAGAGAAGCGATTTAAAAGGTTTATGGTTTTGATGATTATGATGTCAACGACAGGGCCCGTTTTGGCCTTTTTCGTCTAAACGGGATGGAGAATAACGAATTGAAAGCATTGTTCAACAAAAGTTCGGCCCAAACGTTGAAAGACTTTGAAGTACAGCTTGAAATTGATGAAACAGCAATGTCCTACCATTTAAAAGTAATGGGAAATATTCAGGAGGAAGGAAGATGGTTTCCCCATGAACTCTCCACAAAGGCGATTGCGAATTAACTTACCATCTGTCTTTCATTGCTTACAAAAATTAATCTATTTTGACAATTCTACGTGCAAAATATCATGGGTTGATCTCGACTAAACGATATCGACGTCCACGATAAAACGCAATATGCACTATCATGTGGTTCTCTTGTGTATTTGGTGGGACTAAGAAGGAGTATTTTACTACAAGCTATCACTACCAGAGTAGACAGTTATAGAAGATTGCTACTGTGAACAATTATGGCGTTTGAATTAAGCTATAAAGGAAAACTGCCCTCAAATAGCTGTGAATTGGGGCAAAGTCATTCTGCTTCATGACAACGTCAGACCGCATGTTGCTGTTCCGATTAAAGAGATGTTGTTCGAGTTAAACTGGAAAGTCCTGTTGTATTCAACGTACTCTCCAGACATCGTCCCATTTGATTTTCATTTATTTAGATCGATGTGGCACAACCTATCCAATATATAACTTCGAAATGCTGAAAAAGTATGAAAATTTATCAATGAATGGATTGTATCCTAAAAGATAAGCCATTTTATTGGCGCGGGATCAAATCGCCCGAAGAAAAATTGCGAAAGATTATTGACAACAATGGTCAATACTTTGATTAAAATATTATGTCATCTCATTGTT